TTTCATGAGGAACTTCTATTTGACCAACGTAGTCAAAATGAGGGTGAGTCTGTGGAAAGCTTCATCCGAGATTTATATCATCTCGCCGACAAATGTGATTTCGATGATAAGGATCGCAGAATTAAAGTTCGCTTAGTAAATGGACTTGCTGATAAAAAGTTAGCCATGGAGCTACAAATGAAAACATTTACTTTGGAGCAGATTATTCAGAAAGCTCGTTATCACGAATTGATTAAGCAGCAAAACCAAGATGCTGAACTAGATTCTGTAGCCAGACAGAAGTCTAAGAAATCCGCATTCCGATTTCGAGGTGATAAATCAACTTGCACACGATGCAAAGGTGATCATAATAACGATAAATGTCCAGCTATTGGAAAAACCTGTTTCAAGTGTAACGGGAGAGATCACTTCAGCCGAGCCTGTCGCAGCAAGAAAGGCGTGTCTAAACCCAGAGGTCAAGAGCAGCCAAAAGCAGCCCGGAAAAAGGTACTGACTGAAGTAGTTCATAGTGAGATTAATGATGAACCATTAGTGCATGTTATTGACGAAGTGGATGTAAAATACAAAGAATACAATGATCACGAGAGATACATTGAACCATGGAGAGTTATGCTTCCATTAAAGCAGATATGAAATGGTATTTTTTACCTAAAGGAATCAATATAATTTTTTGATAGATGTATTTGGACATGTTTTCTCATCAGTAGTGTGAAAACTATTTCACTCTAACGATCGTTATAGCTGCTTAATAAGCAATATTCGAATTGGTTGTGACGTTATTGGCCCCCACGTGATCTCTCACTGGCCCCCACGTGGCCCATTTTGATCCATTAGATCATGACGTCATAATGCCAAAATGTTTTGTTATTTGTTTACACAACAATCCTATGGTTGCCGTGACGTTGTGATTACTATGGAACCAATAAACCAAAACTATATTTTGTATATGACGTTACTAATCACGTGGGGGCCAATTTGATTTATCGGTTAGTTTTATTTCGTTATCTATGACCGTTAGCAGTTATCTAACATTTATTTTATAATGGCTATTGCAAGAACTCTACGGTGGGCTTACAATGGAGAAAACCGCATTTTTGTAGCTGCAAGTTGAGAAAAGCTATTTCAGTTGTCCTTTAAATAAAAACTTGATTGACTTCAAAATAGACACTGGAGCAGACGTTACAGTGATAAGCTACTCAAAATATCTGCAGATGGAAAATGCTCCACCACTAATACCTACTGATTGTGAGCTTGGAAGTCCCGGTGGACGTCTTAAGGCTAAAGGCCAATTCCTAGCCAAGCTTAAAGACAATGTATATTTACGTGTGTATGTTGTCAATGAAAAAGTTGATAGTTTATTAAGTAGAAATGCATCAGTGAAACTTGGCTTGATTGAGTTGACAAATGTAAATGTACAGGAAATAAAATCTGAAAATGTACAATTAGGTAAAAATGAGAGTGTGAAAAATGTACAATCTGAAAAGATACAATTGGGTAACAATGTGAAAAATCTCAAATTGCCTGTCAGTGATCATGTTGCAAATGATTTGTTTGGTAATGATGGCAAATATAAAGGTAAGCTTGTGGATATTCAACTCCAAGATAATGCTACTCCATACTCAGTCAACACTCCTCACAGGGTACCATATCCCTTATTAAATGATGTAAAACAGGAGTTAGACCTTATGGAGTCGGAGGGTAAGATTCGCAAGGTTACTGAGCCAACTGAATGGTGTAGCCCAATGATCCCTGTAAAAAGGAAACCTACTAAAGCTGGTAAAGCCAGAATAAGAATATGTGGTGATTATCGTAAACTCAATAAACAGATAAAACGAGAGAGATATACAATGCCAACTACTGATTCAGTTTTCAACAAGTTATCAGAGTGTACTGTTTTCAGCACATTAGATTTCAGTGGCTGTTTTCATCAGTTTTGTCGGTCTGAGAAAAGTCAATTGTTAACCACATTCATGACTCCTTTTGGTAGATATTGCTATACCCGTTTACCTAATGGTGTTTCCTTAGCGCCGGAAATATGTCAACGTGAAATGTCGAATTTGATCCGTGAGATACCGCAATGTGACGTTTTCATGGATGATGTCATAATTGGTGGGAAAAATGTCAATGATCATGATCGAATATTAGCTATGGTTCTTCAGAAAATTCATAGTGTTCAGATGAAACTCAACTTAGACAAATGTGTGTTTAGAAAATCTGAAGTTGGATTTGTGGGTCAAATCGTCGGAGAAAATGGTGTAAAACCAAATCCGGATCGTGTTGAAGGTATCCTAAAGATGGAGCCACCGGAAAATGTGGATGAGTTACGTACATTTTTAGGCGGAGTTAACTATCTTGGAAGATATCTGAAAAATCTGTCTACAATGTTATATCCGCTTAATGAATTGCTCAGAAAAGATACTGTTTGGAGATGGGATCAAGCTCAGATTAAAGCCTTCAGTGAGGTTAAACAAGCTTTATCTCAAGCCCCAACTCTCAAGATTTATGACTCAAAGTTGGAGACAATGGTAAGTGCAGACGCTAGTTCTTACGGAATAGGTGGCGCTGTATTTCAAAAACACAATAATGATTGGTGTCCTGTTGCATATGTGTCGCGAACATTAAATGATGCGGAAAAACGTTACGCTCAGATCGAGAAAGAATGTTTGGCGGCCGTGTGGACGTGTGAAAGGTTAGATAGATATTTGATCGGTTTGGAATCTTTCAAATTATTATGTGATCACAAGCCATTGATTCCATTGTTCAATGATAAAGACATAGATAAAATTCCAATCAGATGTCAAAGATTGATGCTGAGATTCATGAGATTCAATGCTATTGCTGAGCACAAAAGTGGTAAAGATTTAGTAGTTGCTGACTTATTGTCACGTAAACCGCTCAAGTGTTCTCTTGAATGTGAAAAAGATGTGCAAGCAGTTGAATATCATGTTAGCTCAGTGATGTCTGGAATACCGGTAACATCAAATCGTATGGATCAAATACGTGAAAAATCAATTCAAGATAGTGAATTATCATTGGTTATTGACTATACATTGAATGGATGGCCAAAGTATTACAGTGAAATTCCTGATAATGTTAAAAGATACTATGAAGCACGTGTTAGTCTGTCTGTGCAAGATGGGTTATTACTCTATGGTGATAGAATTGTAATTCCAAGGTCATTGCATGATGATATATTGAGTAAAATTCATCAAGGCCATTTTGGCATAAATAAATGTCGTGAGCGTGCCAGAGCTAGTGTGTGGTGGCCAGGTATCAGTGAAAGAATAAAACAAATGGTAAATCACTGTGAACATTGCCAAGTGTATAAACCAACTAATGTAAAAGAACCTCTGATTTCAACACCATTACCCGATAGACCGTGGCAAAGAATTGGTGCTGACATGTGTCAATATGCAGCTAAGCAATTCCTGGTGATAGTTGATTATTTTTCAAGATTTATGGAAATTTTGAATATCCCAGGAAGTGTTACAGCTAGCAAGATCATAAACAAAATGAAAGCAATATTTGCTCGCTTTGGGGTATGTGAAACCTTAGTAACTGATGGTGGACCGCAGTTCACAAGTTTAGAGTTCAAAAACTTTGCCAGAGACTATGGGTTCAAACATGTATTTAGTAGTCCTCATTACCCCCAGGCTAATGGGATGTCTGAAAGATTTGTGAAGGCTGCTAAGCACATATTGAAAACAGAAGATCCTTTACTCTCTCTTATGGCACATCATGCAACTCCTTCTGCATCTACAGGTTTTACTCCAGCACAAGTGATGCTTGGGAGACAAATACAAACTCCATTGCCAACTATTTCAAGCAAATTAAATCCTGATCCTCTCAACTATGACAAGTTAAGATCAAATGATGAAAATGCAAAAATGAGATATTGTAAATACTATGATAAATCAGCTAGAGCTTTACCACAGTTGAAACCAGGTGATAATGTAAGAATCAAACTAGATCATCAGTCTACCTGGAGTGAACCTGGTAAAGTTATAAGTAATGGTACTACTCCTAGATCCTATATTGTGGAACACGATGGTGCTATTTACAGACGTAACCGAAAGCATTTAGCTAAAACATATCATAAAATACCAGATCCAGTGGTTACATCTGAATCTAGTCAATACAATACTGATATGAATACAGGAGAAAATTCAAGGAATTTTTCTGATACTTCAGAATCTATAAATACACGTCATTCTGATATTAAGCCTACTGGTTCTCAGGTATCTCAGAAAATACATTCTCCTATTTCAAAAGTTAATACTCCAAGTAGAGTTATTCAAACCAGATTGAGAAGTGGTGTTTCAGTTATGAAGCCAGTAAGATACAGAGACAATTAAAACTGGTTATTAAACATGTAAATGTTCAGAGACATTTTCTATAATTGATATTTTAGAGAATATCAGTTTAAGTCATAGTTGAAGTTGAATAACATGAGATTCAGTTGTGTTATTATTGTACATGTTATAAGTAACATAAGAAAGTAAAAAGTTGTATTGAGTAACATTTTATTGATTTGTATACATAAACATGTATATTCTACATAGTGAAGTAGTGACATCTATAATACTGTGAAAAGTTTAAATTGCAATAGCAAGCACACTAGGCAAATGTATGTGATGTATAACTTTTCTGTTTAAGGGGAAGATGTCATAATATATACTATAAATCTATGTACATTAGTGTCCCTTTAAGTCACGTGATCATAGCAGTGACGTCATTGGTCAGTTCTGAAATAAATTACAGTTGTAGTTGAAGCGTTGTCTTGTTCTTATAAGTTCTCCCAGAATACTCGGCAGTTAAGACACCTATTTAGATACCAAATGAATGTGTTAGGAATAGATACAATTCAAGCACTCCTGTTTTTAATGCATGTGTGTTTACGTGTTTTTATATCTATTGAAAATTATCAAAAAATCAAAATTTGTATATATTTGTTTTCATGCCACCATGCATTTCATTATGCCAATCTTTTCGTATTTTAGAACTCCAGCATTAAGTCAAGTATTGAAGATATATATCGTTTTGTGGCATACATTAATAAGATCGAAGAACAAGCTATTCCCTTTATCTTACATGGTAAAAGCGTGACATCTGATCTTAGGACGTTTTGCGCTGCTAAAGGATGTATCACAGTAAGACATTCGGCTTAATTATTTATTTACACTTGATAATGAGCAGTTGGATTTATGGCGGGAAATTACTTGATCATATTGCCTGTTCAACTGTATTTGAAATTATTCATCATCGTTGGCCCCCAGCCACCCCCTTCCCAGATCCGCCAGTGGATGATATCATTTTAATACCTGTATTTAGGCTGCAGATTGGGTGACGTCATTGGACACATTAGAAGCCCCGCTTGCAACAAATGTTCTTAACGATATGGTCATAGTTGGACGCACAATAATGAAGATCGTCGAAAGATATGGCTGGAAATATGTTGGATTATTCTTCACAGAATCGTTTACTGAAAAAGGAAAGGTACCTTATTAATAATATGCTTCTTTAATTATTTATACATAAAGTGAACGATGACGTGAAGCAAATTTATAAAATATGTTTCTCAGTTTTTAGTGCGGGGAACACATCCCTATCACCGTGATATCATGTACAATGTGCTGTTCGATATTTCAATAAGTTGTACGGGAATTAACAGGAACACACAGCGACATCGATGTACTGTTGTCAAAGGCTCTATTATGAGAGATGTGAGAGAAGAGAAGGAAATCGGCCAAGATCACATACAGAGAAAAAGTTGTTTTAGTGGTCAGAAATTACTCGCTGGGGTCTCATTTTGAGTGCACTCACTTAATTAAGCCAAATATATATATATAGCGTTCCATTAATTTCCGACGTGCCCTTTCGAGTCTTACGATGTCCCATGCGACCAAGTTAACTTTGCCCAATGGAGTCTCGGCTCATCGAGTCCCGCCATGCCCCATCGAGTCCCATGGAATGATGTAATTAAGTTTTGAAGGCCATTTCGATCCCAAGTTACCTGACATGTCACGTGATCATGAGTCCCACAATGCCCAATTGAAAGAATGAACATGTTCATTTATTCTAAATGGGGGTTCGTGGGACTCCATTATGCCTCTTCGAGTCTCATTTGACTCGATGGGGGCAAAGTCCACCGGAGTAGTCCGATGATGGAGTTCCACGAATCCCACGGAGCTAAATGTTAAACCGAATTGTTTAAAGAACACAAACGGAAATTACTGAATTAATACTCTTATTATCCCATCGAACGAAGTTCGGAGGGATATAGGGAACGCCTCCGTCCGTCCGTCCGTCCGTCCGTCCGTCCGTCCGTCCGGGCAATAACTCAAATACCGTTGGCCCGATTTTGTTCATATTTTGTACACATATGCCCTATGGGGGTAGAAGTTCTGCTCGAAAGCCGATTTTCAAAATGGCCGCTCATTTCAAAATGGTGGCCATTTTAGTGCCGATTTTACAGTAATTTAGGTGCAATATGTAAAACTGTAATAGCAATATGTTTTAAATGTAAAAAAAATTATAAAGGACATTAATAGTGCTACAAATATAGATATTAAAGAAGCACATGGCAGCCATCTTGAAAAATGGCGGCCTTTACTCGTCATTTTTCGATTTTTGCTGTAACTCAAAAAATAGTGGAGCGATTTTGTTCATATTTGGTATGTGAATACTATAAGCGTTGCACACTGTCTAAAGACACTTTTGGTAGAAGGCGGCCATTTTTCAAAATGGCCGCCATTTTGACATATTTTACTATAACTCAAAAAGTAGTGGAGCGATTTTGTTCATATTTGGTATGTGAATACTATAAGCATGGCACACTGTCCTATGACACTTTGGGTAGAAGGTGGCCATTTTGAAAAAAAATTGAAAAGTGGCCGCCATTTTAACGTATTTTACTATAACTTGAAAAGTAGTGGAGCGATTTTGTTCATATTCGGTATGTGAATACTATAAGCATGGCACACTGTCTAATGACACTTTTGGTAGAAGGCGGCCATTTTGAAAATTTTTTTGAAAAATGGCCGCCATTTTAACGTATTTTACTAAAACTCGAAAAGTAGTGGAGCGATTTTGTTCATATTTGGTATGTGAATACTATAAGCATGGCACACTGTCTATTTCTAATGACACTTTTGGTAGAAGGTGGCCATTTTGAAAAATAGCCGCCATTTTAACATATTTTACTATGACTCGAAAAGTAGTAGAGCGATTTTGTTCATATTTGATATGTGAATACTTTAAGCATGGCACATTGTCTAATAAAACTTTGGGGAGTAGTCGGCCATTTTGGAAAATGGCCACCATTTTTATGTGTGTTATTTTACAAGTACGTGTGCAATTTTTCAAAAATTTTAGAGGTGGCTACTTAAAAGCATATTATTTCTTCTGATGACAACTTGGCTAGTGAGCAACCATTTTGAAAATGGTGGCCTTTCTGGTGTGTTGTTTTTATGATATTTGCTATTCGTTTGTAAAAATGCCAGCCATTTCTGTTCGATGGGATTCGCTACGCTTTGGCGTTGCCGTTGTTCTGGTTAATTATATATTTCAGTTCATTAAACAACTAAAGTATGATCTTGAAGCGAATGATGTGGAGGTGGATGTCTATCAAACATACACTGTGACAAAAACTAATTGGACTGCAATAAAAGTATTACTATTTCTAGAACAGTGAGATATGTAGCATGATGTTTATGTTCACTATAATAACTGGTTCAACTAGTTTAGGATATACCTTACTTAATATTATATTTTTATTATATTCTATGTTTTGAAAATGTTTCGGAATATAAATACATACAAGGTGGTAAAAACGGCAACCCTAATTTTTCCTCATATCTTTGTCATTTTTGAAAATTTTGCCCTGATATTTAGCACACATGTACATCATTCAATTTCATACTTGACTGTATTATTTCATGATCATTGGACTGATAAAATGTCTTTCTGGTGTTTTACCCTACACTCTATCTTTGGGGTATCCCCACTGTTAAAGATTAAATGGGGCCATAGCTGGGCATTGCTGTGCATCATTGGGTGTATGGGGTATGGTTCTGTCATGTTGGAACCACTGCTGCTGCCTATCAACTTCCCCCCTGGTTTCACCTAAAGTCCCCAAGAATGCCATGGGAATCACAAAATGTTTGATGTTGATCTGCACTACTTTATCAAGTACTTGGTTCCCCACGAATACATAATTGTTAGAGTTTACCAGTGCATCAAGTTGGAAATGGAGTTCATTTGAATAACAGACCAGCTCAAACAGCCCGAAAGTGGCCATCTGGGGCATGTTGCTTAAAATGCAGTAATCACGGGGTACCATCGAATAATTTTGGCAACGTTCCGGAGAACGACATTTTACTAAGAAATGGCAATAATTTAGCACAATATATTTTTTAACTAGAGTTCTATTTTGATTTTGACAAAATTAAGTATTCCATGCAATAACTATTTCATTCATGAGTTTGCAGGAATTCTGTTGGAACCCAGTTCTGATCAAGTACGAAGTTATTGAAATCGGCGCAGACGGACTTTACTCCGAAAGATGGTTTTTCGATTATAACTTTTCACAACATTTAAGTATAGACTTTTGAAAAAAGTACAGAATAGTCCTTATACTTTTGAATAATTCTGTTATTTCTGATTCACACGACTCTGATTTGTTTAATTAAAAAAAAGTTTTAAAAATATTACTTAGGAACGTAACCAGAGCTGGGAACGTAACCGGAACAGATCAGTTGAATTATTTAATCAAAAAAACTTAAAAATTGAATCATATATATATTTTTTTAAATTATATAATTCAACTGATCTGCTCCGGTTACGTTCCGAGCTCCGGTTACGTTCCTAAGTAATATTTTTAAAACTTTTTTTTAATTAAACAAATCAGAGTCGTGTGGATCAGAAATAACAGAATTATTCAATAGTTTAAGGACTATTCTGTACTTTTTTTAAAAGTCTATACTTAAATGTTGTAAAAAGTCATAATCGAAAAACCATCTTTCGGAGTAAAGTCCGACTGCGCCGATTTCAATAACTTCGTACTTGATTAGAACTGGGTTCCAACAGAATTCCTACAAACTCATGAATGAAATAGCCATTGCATGGAATACTTACTTCTGTCAAAATCAAAGTAGAACTCTAGTTAAAAAATATATTGTGCTAAATTATTGCCATTTCTTAGTAAAATGTCGTTCTCCGGTACGTTGCCAAAATTATTCGATGGTACCCCGTGGTAATATTGTGACTATCAGTGCGATGGTCATGATATATGGTAGGTTGGTAGGAAATTGAATGATGTTCAAATGTGTCAAATATCAGGGAGTTATTTCTTAAAATGAAATAGATATTAGGGAAAACTAGGGTTGCCGTTTCTTGACCACCATGTATATGTATACCCTTTTTTACTCCTTAAAGGTCCCATATAAAGTTTAAACTTCTTTGGCTTACGCAAAATTATTAAAAAATTGATATTAGAATTTTTTGATTCAAAAGGTGGTTCTTGAAGGACTTTTTGACACTGGTGCTAAAAAGATAATGTGTTTTGCATTGTATAGTGGAATACTTGATGATTTAAAAATCTCAACTTGTATCTGAAAAATTGCGAGCAATTTGAATTTTTGAGAAATAAAAAGCAGAAAACCTTTTCCTTGAAAATACTGAATGAATGATTAAAGGCCCCATATAAAGTTTAAACCACTTTGGCTTATATTGTAGTCTTACCCAATGTTATCAAAGTGTGATATGTGAAACTTTTTTTTTAAATTTCAAAAAGTGGTTTTTGATAGACTTTTTGTTCCAAAATTTGTGAATTTATTTAAAACCAACTTTTAGAGGTCACTCATATCTTCTAATTAGCCAGAATTCATACCAATGCATAGCATTCATCCTCTCATGCTTTTGCCGAAAAAATTAAGAAAATCGGTTCATAAATAAGCGAGAAATGAACTTATCAGTGCATGAAAATGGTTCTGAGAAAAATGCATTTCAAAATTTTAGTTCTCATAGAAACCAATGGTACAATGATATCTAAAACATAATTTATTCTTCCTTTTAACCTGGTTAGACAATCAACATTGTTTTTTTATGAAAGTCTAACATATTTAGAAAAGATTGACATCGAAAAAGAAATTTCAATTTTTTTCAAAAAGTTTTTGGTACCTTAGTGACATCACTAATGTTTCAAAATATTTTTGATATGCTAAAACATTGAAGTGGCCCATTAAATATGGCATTTTATTATTGAAATAGTGTGCCCTTTGTTCAATCTTTGCATTGGTGTTAAAAAGATAATCTTTTTTGAAATGCATTAAGAAATATTTGATGATTAAGAAATTTAAACTTTTTTTGAAAAATGGCGGGAAATTTGAATATTTGAGAAATGAAATACTCACAACTTTTTTTCCCAAATTTTTTTTTGTTCAAAAAGCTCTAAAATCACTTTTTAAGTCATGACAAATAGTAAATGAATGATAAAAAAATATATTCAAACTTTAGACGGGGACTTTAAAACATATATTACAACTGGCCTTTAAGAAAGTATTCTGCTCTGCGACCTTTAATAATCCCCAAGTGAGAAAAGCGTTTAAAGGCATATCTTCATTATTTTAGGAAAGTGGTCTGAGAATATTTGTCGCTGATGTCTCCAGATCAGCTCAACCTAAATTCCTGTGTGAGGTATGATACACTTTACTTTAAATCGTAAATGTATTGTTGAGCGTAATGTATTTTTATTATTATCAAAGCAAAAAATGATGATTCTGTGAACTATTACAAGAGCAGTATGTCACAATTATTTCACAAACGTGAGGACTAACAAATAATAAACTTTGTCATTACAGTTAATAACGGTAAAACTCTTTGGTCAAGGCTGTGCAAGGATAAAAACCGAGTTCCTTCAATAATTGTGACATCTAGTCAAGTAGAAAATAAAAATCGAAAGTGATTGTGAAGCCCAATCAAAACCAAATGCTACAATAAAAGTTTTAAAACAAATAAGCTTAGGGGAGGCATCAAAAGATCAATGTCTGATAGAAAACTAAATAAATCTAGTTTGGGGGGAGGGGGTCAAAGCTATTTCAGTTTGCTATCCGACAAATTTCAACATTTAAATTTTTGCAATTTCGACTCGAAATACACCTTGAAATGGTTTAAAAATAAAGACTTTACCAGACGCCTTCTTCACCAAGATGCATGCAACATGGAATATGCTTATTGTTGTTGGCACCTGTTTTAAGAATTATAAATAAGTTATAGTACTGCCCCCATGACAGTCCAAATTAAGTCGCTAAAACAAGTTAAAGGTCCGCGATCAACTTTCATTGTATTTAGTTTTGAGGGGGAGGGGGGTGTCCAACTCAAAACTAGATTTATTTAGTTTCCTACAAGACATTGAACTTTTATGCCTCCCCTTAATAGATCTACTAATTTGCAAACCTTTTTTTGCAAATGGCAAATACTGTACGAAAGTACTGTACTGTCCAAAAAAGTCTTTGACATCATATTTCTCGTTGATGATATAAAAACATTCGTCGTTTACTTTGTAAAGTATGATGGAATTAATCTGCTTTGATTTATTTTAATAAAGATTGCAAGAGTATGAGATATGACTCATCGGGGGCACTTTTGAGTATGCTCAAATTATTACCAAATTTTTAATTTGGAACCATATCCTGTGCATGCCATACTTTATTAATTTTGATGCTACATGAAATCAACATCGCTATTTTATTAAAAGACTATGTCATGATATGTATTCTATTATGCTAATTATAACATATTCTTGAGTTTTGTTTATTACTTACTTATTAGGTAATTAACTTTGTACTAGAATTTTTGCATACTGTACTAGTTAATAATAATTAGCAAGGTAAAAGGTAGAGACATGGATAAGTGTAAACTAAGGATGAGATGTAAGCCAGTGTGTATGTAGAGTGTGTAGTAGCAAGATGTAGGTGATTTTGTAAGCTTATAAACTTGAATAAAGAACCTTGAAAAGACTTCTTGACAGACTATATCCTTGATAAATATTATAAATATTTTGCACAAGGTCCCATAAAATGGCATACAATGTCTTTACACTATAAGCAATGTATTAAAGTCGATGTTTCGTTTTTTAGCTGTACAAAAACAACATAACAGGGGATAAATATATGCTCATTTATAAAGCGAATCCTACTCTTAACAATTACACAGACGATCAAATTGCTACTACCAACTGTACGAGGGAACAGATTAACGAAGCGAGGAAGGGAGCCATCCATATTACACTGTTACCCGAGTTCTTCTTTGAGGGTGGCAACGCTGATCTGACTGAACCCAAACATTATAGAAATGGCAAAGTAATTATCCGCAAAATCATAAGTTTACTTAGTTTGAAAATATTATATAAGCTAATTCTTACTTTTTTTATCTGATCAAAGATACGAAACGCCTTTAATTTGCATTTCACATCTGTCAAAGATTTGGTATCTTTGTACTATATGACTACTAATAACGTTAAATGAGTCAATGACTCTTTTGAAAAGTTTTGACATTCCATCATCTTACTTCCATTTTGATTACCCAGCTTATATTGATCAATTGCAGACATACGTCGATGTATTATCTGATATTGGAGAAGTGGTACCACCTAAAAAGCCATTTGTTTTTGCAGGTATGTGTTATAAGTATCTTCATATTATGTCAATTTACAGTTAATTACTCGCTAAATATAACTTTCGGGGCTAGCCAGAATAATAAAAATTGGCGGGGCTTGGAGTATCTTACCACCTTTGGCAGTACACGTTAAAAAGACTTCAGGCCGGCCGGTCATATATACAACAAAATTCAATTTGAATGAACTAAAAATAATTCTGAAATTACAAGGCAAAATATGCAAAATCGACCGAGTTATTAAACTTTCTTACGGTCCTGTTTTTTTGGACACCCTGTCAGTTTATATTGAAAATACGTTTAATATTGAGCCTTTAATGCCTAGTATCGGATCGGTATCGGACATAATTTCCCACTAAAATGGCTCTAACTTTCACTTATATAGTATAATCTGTCATGATCAAAACACAAAGGGTTTTAATTCTTATGCTAATAAGGTGCAGCTTATGACGCCGTGTGGGCGTTTGCCCTGGGACTAAAAGCGACATTTGACGCAGAGGGAGTAGTTCCTGGAGAAGCGAATGCTTTTCTCAGAACCAAGGACGGGATAGAGAAACTATATGCTAATCTCATGGCGGTTGACTTTGTTGGAGTCACGGTATTGTTACAACTTTTTTGCCAGTACAATTATTTAAACAGTTTGAATATATGAACTTGACGTTGACTGCAACTACACATTCTGATACTCATAGCATCTTTCTGTTTCACCTGAAACATGGGCTGAGAAGATTTGAGATGTCATGGTTTATCATGATGGCAACTACACAAAAATAAGGACACTTATTTCCGAAGTGCCCATTTAATGCTTCCATTTATGCTCCTATTCGATAGACAAGAGAATTTCCAATAACATTATACCTCATTTTATCAAAACAATTGAAATCCCTGTAAACGCGTCTGGTTCAAAACACTGGTACACAATAAATGATGTGTTCATAACACTGATTCAGTAAAATATCTATCCAATGGCAGAAAATGATTAAAAATATATTTATTATCAAAGAATGCAAAGCTATACTGAATAGCAAATATGATTTATGTAATAATGATTGTGATTTTCTATTCTACGCTTTACGAACGGCACACAGGGACACTATACATACAACGCTACTGGATTACGTAACTTTTATGTCTACGTTGGTACATTGGAAGGTAAGTTCAAGAATGATTTATATGTTTAAGAAGCTTACTTATTCCCCGAAAGCCCTGTGAATTAGCTGGTCCCACAAACCACAGTCAAACCTATCAATTTAAGAATTTGAAGTTTCGTTTATTTTCAGCTGATGGTGTCTCGATTAGGAACGTTGGGAAATACGATGCAAAAACTGATGTGCTATCCTCATTCGATGAGTCTCTGATGTGGCGGTATAAAGGTAAGTACTTTTTAGTGTCACCTTCATATGAATTGCTTTATTGTAAGTTACTGCGCAGAAAAAAATGATAATTTACAAACCACAAGTTCGCTAAAACAAAAAATTAAAAATTATTAATCGTACGATGATTTGCTCCTTATGTTCTTATTTTAATAGCAAACAGTCATGTGGTTTTGGTCTTACTTGCCTTTAATACAAAAATAATGTCGTCTGCGTTGAAAATCATTTTGAATAATTCTTTACCGAAAATCGCTAGATAAGGTACCCATTTTGAAGAAAAAAAACTAGATATGGGTCAAATTTGATAAACAAATCCCTAGAACTGGGTCTACTTTTTAAAAATCCTAAAACTTGGTATTGTTTTTGAGAAAAAATCGCCGGAAGTGGGTCTTGTTTTTTTCAAATTACCTTAAAGTCACTTTAAGGAAGTGGGTCTACTTATGAAGAAAACCCCTGAATGTTGGTCAATTTTTAGAGAAAAAAATCCATAGATCTGGGTAGATATTTAATATATCATCGACTCCCCCTGTACAAAAAGTTGACCAGTGCCCCCCCCCCCTCGGCATTTGATCATGTTCTCGTCTTGTACACATTTTCTAACTGGGAAAGACGTTCTGGTGTTCTCAATGCGGGGTCATTCTAGTATTCCTTGAAACAGTCTCTTAGAATTATACGATTTGTATCACACTGTTAACGTTTCATTTAATTCAATTGTAGGAGGGGGACAAGTCTTGGATGGACGTCTATAAAATGCAGATTATGGATCGCTAGCAGCTGGCATTATGCCTTAAAAAGCCAGACAAAACAAAACATTTTCTAAAAATGTTGCTGAAAGAAATGTTGTAACTCATCAAATATTCTAATTGCATGACACTTAAATGCAAAATTGAATCTAATCAAATAACATACCCTCTGTATCAAAAGTATTTTCCTATTGAGAAAACCCTTAAATAACTTTTGTATAAGGCAAGTAAACTTAATGAAACTTTCCACGCATAATTTGAGGCATATAATACACCCTCTGTGAAAATTTGGAGACAATTGGTTGATTTTTACTCAAAATATCACATATAGAACATAGCATATACCCAAAACACCGATGTGACTTTTTCCAAGTTTGTGACGTCAAACTTACCTAAGATTGCCAAACTGACCAAAGTCAGGCTGCTCTGCAAAACTAAGTGGACAAAGGTAATTATATATAATATGCTAATAATGAGCAATCAGATTATGTTATAGACTTTACAAATGATCCTGTTCATGAGAGTTGTATATTTCATAAAATAAAGGTGTCACTGAAAGCTGTATAATAACAATGCAAAAGTCCTTACACTTGGGTCTTAGAACAGTATTGCCTAACTGTTCATTGTTATGCCATATTTCCTAAATAGTTCCCCCTTTCCTGCCCAATGACATCAATAAGTATAATTTTGTGACTAATGTGTCAATATGATTTTCTCAGGGGTCCATCCTCTAAATATTCTTGATGTACTTTTGGTATTTAATTCAAAAGAATCTATCATATTTCCATTTTATTGCAATAATTCTGAATCATAATGCACCGAACATTGATATATTAAGGATAGCAGTGCTTATTGTGACAACATATTTCTGAATTCCTCAAATAATTTTGGTCAGGAAAGGGTTAAGTGGAGTACAACATGGTCCAGGGCTGTTAGTAAAATGTATGAGGACATTCAGAGTACATTTTTTGTATATTTAATAACACATTCTGCTCATAATTAGCATTTTATATATAAAGACTTTTGTCTGCATACTTTTACAGAGCAACCTGATTTTGGTCAGTTTGACAATCTTAGGTAAGTTTGACGTCACAAACTTGGAAAAAGTCACATTGGTGTTTTTGGTATATGCTATGTTCTATATGTGATATTTTGAGTAAAAATCAATCAATTGTCTCCAAATTTTTACAGAGGTTGTATTATATGCCTCAAATTATGCGTGGAAAATTTCATTAAGTTTACTTGCCTTATACAAAAGTCATTTAAGGGTTTTCTCAATAGGAAAAGACTTTTGATACAGAGGGTAAGTGATAAAACACATGTAGGTAATCACGTGAATAAAAGAGTTGTCCAAAAAGTCTTGAAATTTTTGTTCTAATTACAGGGTGTTCCAAAAGTAACAGGACTGGTGCTGGCATTTTGTCAATTTTGCACCAAGTGTCTTCAAATTTTTACAAATTGTACTTTGAAGTATTGCAACTAAAATAGTATAGTTTCAGAAAAAATGATGAAATGCGGGTAGTGTTGTGGTTACTATAGTAACATGACATCACAATACCCGGAGCAACTTTTTCCTGAAAATGTGATATCTAACAACATTTTTGTATTACTGAACAAAGTATCCAATTCACCTATTATAATACAACATTTTTTGTTTACTTTATTCATTGCTTTGTTGTGAAGGTGTTGTTATAAAACTCAGATTCAAGTATTATTTCATAATAATAATAATATTTAATCAATTTCCTGGAATATCACTATGAATTACAGTCTGAACAATTCATGGTTGTGTTTTTGAAAAGACCCAATTTGAAGCCAGTCATCCACCTTGATAAAGTGCCTGCCCGCAGGTCACCATTAAAGACCATGCAGCTATAGAGGAGCTAGGTCTTGAGCTCTAAAATCATGCGCCATAATCTTCTGATCATGCAACATCCAATTTTTACTAACATGGAGAATGGAATGCTAATCAGTGCTGTAATATCTTTAAAGATGAGAATGCCCTTCTCCAAGTTGTTCAATGGACCATGCGTGACATGTCCTTAAATGGGTTCACCATTGTGTTTGAGTCATGGATACAGAGTGCTACTCCTCTACTGACCAAATAGGATCCTATTTTCAAAGTAGAGGATACATAGGAATATCAAATTATGTAAAACAAATGTAATTCCCACCAGTTGTTGCATTTCAACTTTGATATGGGATGTACAAAATGCTTAATGTCCATTTCTGTCTTAATGTAACTTTCTGCGTGGAATGTTGCCCCGGGTATTGTGATGTCATGTTACCATAGCAACCATAACTCTCCCCTAGTTTCATATATTTTGTCAAAACTTTGCAGTTTGAGTAATGATACATGAAAGTACATTATGTGAAATTTTGAAGACAATTGGTGCATATTTACCAAAATGCCAGCACCAGTCCTGTTACTTTTGGAACACCCTGTACCTAATCAATATTTAACACCCCATGCAAACAGATCGCCTAAAATTATATTCGTATGATGCGAGACTCGACATTCACCGGGAAAGAAGAAACATTTTGTTTTTTAATTAATTTTTTTACTGCTTAATAAATGATGAATGACAGTCATATTAAGTTCTATAAGTATGAGAATAGCATGCCGTCTTGATATTTTAGGGTTACTCGTTTGAAAAAATGATGACGATGGTTGAAGTGACGATGTAAAGATAAAACCGCAACGAAATATTTGTAGATTTCTTTGAAAAACTAAGAAATATGCATCATACATGTATATCGAATTTTTCAAAACAGAAATAACATCCATAAATAATAAGGCCAGTAGGTCCAATTCATCCTGGTGGCATTACCATTGGTATCGTATAAGT